ATTAGGGGGGGGGGGGGCGACAAGTACCGTCTTTCGAGTCAGTGTGGGAGGATGTCGACCCTATTTGTCTCTGGCAGCCAAATTAATCGGGGCATAATACGCAACATCTTCAGTTGTGGCTTACTCTCTTACACATATTCTGCTAGTGCCTCTGGAAAGCTCGTAATGATCTGATTTTTAGACAACTTCTATCTCTTCTCAACAGTAAACAGCTAATTTCAACTTCTTCATTATGTTCTAGTTAGGTAACACAGTTAGGAAGCAGGCAGGGTAGATTCATGCAGCAACCAATCAACTGGGACTACAAGATCTTTATGAAGCATTTTTTTCGAGATGGTGGTGGATAAGTTTTGAGGAGTGCGTTAGGGAGTGATTGGGAATTGGAATCAGATTCATGCAGCAGTCAATCAACTGTGGCTTACTTAAGGTGACATATTCCCCTCCACTCATTGAAATCAATGGCCATATTCACATGAGTTGGGGAGTGGTTGGGAATTGAAATGAGTGGATGAGAATAAGACACCTCACTATCAAGCACAAAGTTTATGCTTTGTACCAAACATACTCATTTTTCTCATATATATATACACACACACACACACCTTGTTCGCTTAATTGTTTGTGTTTTTTACAACCTTGGTTATTTGATTTTATTATTATCATAAGTGTTGTTTATGTCCATTCAGACGCGACACTCATGTGTGAAAGTTCATTTACAAATTACAATTATGCACTATTTTTATTTAGTTCTTGTGCTTAGAGTGTAACACCTATATGGTATCCCTGCCACAAGTTGAAGCGCATTGAACTCATTGAACTACCCGTGAGACCTAGGATTTGGGATGTTTGTTGTGATTTAATACATAGCTATTTAGCCAAGACCATGGTTGGCTATATTGAGCTACGATGTCATCGGGCATTCTCTAGAGCTATTGGTCCCTTCTTAGTTTAAAGTTAATTCCTTGGTACATATAGACGGATTTAGTAATTTATTTCCTATGCCTGGGGCGTGACAAGGTGGCATCAGAGTAGTTAGTCAGCACAAAGTACAGTGCTATGCAGGACTAAGCACTACACTATGTGAGAGCAATGGGAGTTACCTCTGGAACCCGTAGGAGTCACCTCTAGATTCTACATTGCTTGACGGTGATCTAGGATAGACGACTTATCATGCGGTGATATTGACATTGCATATTTAAAGGGGGGTGGGGTGAGTGTAACACCCCTAATAGTCCCACATCGATTGTGTGAGGACATATTAATGGGTTGAAGTAGTAAGCATAAGGAACCAATTGCAACAATGATTAACCATTTTGGCAGTTGGTTTGCTAAAAAACTTCTTAGTGCAGCTTGTTTATGCGAGGATAATGCCATGATGGGGTACCTCCTGGAAAGTTATAGTGTTGCAATCAGAAAATTAAATGTATGGTGATAAAAAACGAAAGTGAGATCCTTTCAAGGGTGAAAACAATGAATCCATGAGCGCATGGTATACGCTAATGCATTTTATATTAGCAGCATAGTGTATTATATTTAGCTATATACTAAGTTGCATGGAAATGTGTGCAGGTATTGGTACGGGTGTGGGTACGGTATGAGACACGTTAAAACTATAAAATGTAGGGTACATGGACACGACTATGTATGTATATATATATATATATATAGAATTAATAATGTAGATGAGATCATTTTTTTCTGCTTCATGTGTCATTAGAATTAAAATTCCTATCTCATTTTTGAGTTTCTTTTATCATATTGATTATCATAAATTGGAAACTACTCATTCTTTTTACGAGACAACCAAACGACCTTTTAACTATATAGTTTTGAACTTGGGTACGGATTGAAACGAACCTGATCCATATGTAACTAGTTTCCAAGAAACGGGTGTGGAGTGTCAGCTATACGTCCAAGAAATATATGACAAGTGTTTTAAATTAACGCATATATTGTATAATTGAGTACATGTAATAATTGCTTGCATATATTCAAGAAGTGTCCATGAAGTTTGGGTATGAGAAAGTGTCGGATATGTGTCCGGTACGGGTATGGCTTCATTATAGAAGTACCCGGGTAACACGGGCCCTATATGTCATCTTTTTAGCTGAGAGGGTGTTTGTGGGAGCTCATTGTTTGGTCAAAGTAGCTTTTAAGCTTTTTTTTTGCATCTACATTTTTGGTAACATCTCAAATACGCTAGCTTTTAAGTCTTTCAAAAAG